TTTTAGTTTTTTCTTTTGTTCTCGTAGCTTGCATTCCAACTCCTAAAAAAAATCAAAGAAAATTCGTAATTTGCAAAAAACCAAAAATCTAATCGACGACATCTGATTCATGTCGCGGCGTTTTAAACGGATTTGACCATGGCACTTAAGGCTGAAAAGATTGGCGATAGTCGTATTTCATCTTATCTCAGAACTGTATCACAATGACATATGATTATGTAGCTGGTCCAGGTGATTTTGGTGGTGATAGGCTTACTCGTAAATGTTAGGCAAAGTTCATTAAAATATTCACATAGAGCTTTTCGTTTCAAATATGGATCGAGACCTTCTACGAATAAGTACAAGGTTGCGCCTTCCTGGAGTCCAAAACGGAGAATGATAAAATAGGACTGTTCTTATCATCGAACGTCATGAGGTCAACAGAAATTACCTCAATTAGGAAGCTGCAAAATTTTCTGGAAGCCGAGCAAATGAATCGGCTGGAAAAAGCGTTTTTAAGGGATTAAAAAAATTTTGCTCGCGCAGGCAGTAGTGACCCTCATTTCGACGTAAATTTTGCAATGAAAAAATTTCAACTGCCCCAGTATAATAAACCTTGATATGTTGTGATCGCTCATACTCGGCGGTCCACGAATCCGATTCTGAGTCATCCAGGTTCGGATTGTATGTGCTATACAGAGTTGTAGGTGATGGATTTCCGCTTCCGTACTCAGATGTGATCGCATTTGCGCGTCGCAAGCGGTGTATCTGGTGATGCCGGCGACGCCGAAGAATCTGTGGATCAGTAAATATTCTTCGTATTTCATCTTTGAATAAATTTTTAACTAAAAACCGAAAAATGCACCAAAATGACGAAAGTACAATAGCCTCAACCTAGTAATTTCTGTAACAGAAATACACTCCCCCATTCTTATCTATCTGCTTGTGTCAAACTGGAGAGACCGTACTCACCTCTTCAATACCGCTGTGTTGAAAGCAATGAATGATGCGACATGTGATCACTCACGAAAACTAAACACGAAGCGCTGGGAGTGACACAGACAGCAAAGGAGCGAAGGATGATTGGTATATCTCTCCGCGACCATATAAACAATCAGACTCTCCGTCGGCTGAGTGGCGTTCATGGTATTATTGCGACCAAGTGGGGAAGTAAAATCCGATAGGCAGGACATGTCGCTCACCTTGCCGACAACCGGTGACAAACCGCATTAGTGTGTGGTGCCTACGGGGAAGTAAGCAACCATTCTAGCGATTCTCGGAGAATTGGCGCACATACGCAGAACAGCCAGTAGATACTAACTGCAAGCAAACAGACCAGGATTGAAGGGCCTGACATGACTGGGTTGGACGTGTGAGAGCATCACAGTAACATCACGAACAGGGATACCCACACTGATAGCCGAAGCGGTCTTGATATTCTTATTAACTTTTTGTGAGTATGAAGATTAGTTAAATAGCTAGACAGAGTATCAGAACAAATTTTGACAGACGAAAGAAAGGAAAAGTATTTAGTATGAACTATTCAAGGACCTTTTTTTAGCTTTTGAACACAAGTCTGGACCTTTTGGAAGACTGGCAGTACCTTTTTCTTAAATTCAAATTACAATTTTATCTCCTTCGAATTTAGGGTTTTTTAAAAGATAGCTACTCTTTTGTTTGGATACTTTTCAACGCAAAACAAGGGCCGCCCTCCTTTTTGTCCAAATTTCACGCAAAAACCTATTTCAGAAATGCTGGCAAAAGGCCTCGAAACTTGCAAGCACTATTTAAGGTTAAATGGAAATTTTGTTGAAAAATGTAA